CCAACTCTAACTTTTCAGCCTTGGTTGTCTTGTCAATCTTTGCAAAACTGACTTTCTTTTATTTTCCAAAGATGCAATCTTCACATAGTCCGACATCTATATTCTTTAGATCCGGCAGCTTCCCTTCTTCTTTACACCGGACTTAGCTTTGCCATTATTTCCCGATGGCTTTACTTGGCTACGAACATTCGATGGCTCACCTTGGCCATTCGAAGAGCTTTCTTTACCATCTCCCTACTACACCTTTTTCCGATCTCACCCACTGTTGCCATTATTCCTGGGATGGGCCTGGACGACACATTGCTACTTGGCTTGACTCCTGCAAGCTCAATAAGCTTTTCGGCTACAACTATGGCCTTCGAAAGTCTCTGGGCATCTCCTTCTCTCCCCCGAGCATCGCTCCTAGTCTATGTCCTTCCAAGAAGGTCTTGAGCGCACTCCATTCACTCATTGCTCCCTTGCATATGAGCAGTTCCCTCTTGAGATCATCCACTTCGTTTCTCAAAGCCATCGCTCCCACTCGAATTTGGCTTCTTTTGGATCATTTTGACAATTCCTGCGAACCACTGTGTATTAGAACACCTCCGTCGACAAACTCGTATTGCCGACAAAATTTTACTATTCATGAAATTCACTATTCACGTGATTAATAATCTCGCAGAAAAATTGACAAAATTCACCAAAGCTCTTTATATCAGTTTTTGGGAAATAAAATGAGTAATTTCCTTATAACCAGATTAGTGAGAATGCGAAATAAAAGCGGAAAAATAATACTCGAAATTGATAACGGAGTTTAGCAATTATGCCTACGTCTCCGGACTGCTGCAGATCTTTTACTAAGAAGAGAAAATTTACAGGTGTTTACAAAACACTCACAAGAAAGCTCTTTAGTATTAGTAGAAAGAAATGATTTGGGATGATTTTGAAGATAAATGGGTTAGGGTATTTATAGTTGAAGCTTAAGGACTAATCTTGTAAATACCCTAATCAAAGTCCTCAACAAAATATACCATTGTCGTCAAGCAGCAGCAGCGATGCTAACAACATAATAAAAAATTCTGAAATTCTGAAGCACCTCCCACTGAAGTTTGAAGATCTACAAGAGAGAAGAGAAAAGAAAAGAAGAAATGTACAACGATTATGAATTAAATAGTCCTTCAACTATTCAGTCTCTTTGCAAAGAGTGATCTAATAACAAATGAAGAACGATTGGAGATGACAAGTAGAAAAAAGCTCGGAATGGAAAATCAAGTTTGGGGAGGAATGTTAGAAGTCAAACATGATTTTTGACTTCATATGTCGACAGCCTGCATGAAACAAAACACTTAGTAACAACAAGATCGAGGCAGCTAAGAGCTTGGAAATTAAGAAAACATGAAACATGTGAAACAAAGTTTTGGCAATATACATGTTTAATTATTAAGCATGAAAGTTGAAAAGTCAAAGTTGGCAGCAACCTAGGGATATTTATAGCTCGATTTCTATGTTTTTTTTTGTTTTTTCTTATTTTATTTCTTGTTTTTTCTAAAGTAAAATTATTGTGTTCTTGTTGTGGATCCACTTGTGATTGTCTTGTTAGTGGAGAAGGTAGTGATAGATAATGGGTAGGATAGGTAAAAATACCTAATTTTTAGAATTTGGTTTGATTTAAAAATAGATTTAGTGGGATTTGGTTGATTTGAGTGCTTGTAACCGGGTTGATTTCATCATTTTTCAAATCATCTTGGTTACAAGCACTTAAATCAATCAAATCCCACTAAATCTATTTTTAAATTAAATCATATTTCAAAAATTTGGTATTTTTATCTACCTACCATTATCTATCACTACATTCTCCACTAACAAGACAACCACAAGTGGATACACAACAAAAACACAAAAATTTTGCTTTAGAAAAAGTAAGAAATAAAATAAGAAAAAAACAAGAAAAAACATAGAAATCGGACTATAAATATTCCTAGGGTACTGCCAACTTTGACTTTTAAACTTTCATGCTTAATAATTATGTATACTGCCAAAACTTTGCTTCACATGTTTCATGCTTTCTTAATTTCCAAGCTCTTAGCTACCTCGATCTTGTTGTTACTAAGTGTTTTGTTTCATGCAGGCTGCCGACATATGAAGTCAAAAATCATGTTTGGCTTCTAACATTTTTTTTTACCAAAAGAGAAGATACGTCCCATTCCCACCATCTCCATCAAGGATTTCAAGCACAATTACAACCATTTACGCCCCTCTAAACTTGGAAATCAAAAAATGTGTGGCAAGGTTTTTCTATAGCTTAGTCGACATTTAAGGTTTATATTAAGTCATTTGAAGCACCGGGAAGACTTGTAATCGAGGTTCGGAGACATTCGAACACGGTTCTATGCTGTAGCAGGTCAATTTTCTGAAGATTTTTCATACAGATGCAGTTGTTTAAGAATTGAAGTCCTGTTTTCTGAACCCTCTTGGTTTTATGCAGTGATGTATTGAGATTAGTTTTGAGGAGCTTTCGTTGTCGATGGTTGGTCAAATACCATAAGACGAACATGTATACCATTCCTTTACATAGTGAAGATTTTCCTGTGGACTAAGGTCCCGTGGTTGTCCCCCCTTAATTATAAGAGGTTTTCCATGTAAGTTTGGTGTCTCCTTTTTATTTATTTGTGTTACTCGATTATTTTGTTGATTTAAGAATTTCAAGGTTACTGGAAATAATCGTTTCCGGTTTTGATACAGGCGTATATCAGGTGTTCGTGAGCTAATTAAATTCTGAGTGAATCACTATTTTGTTAATTTTACTTGAACTGTATTGATTACATGATGCAGGTATTGGATATCTAAAATTTAAATTGCAGGTTAAAGGACGGATGGTTCCATATTTTGATTTTTGGATCGTCTTATTTTCTATAATTGAAGCTTAATTTTTGGATTTGTGTAAATATTTCTTTATGATAATAGAACAAAAAATATTTTATTTTGAAAGATCCTTTATTTTTTGAAAATCATAATTTCATTCATCATTCTAAAACGAGCGCGTCAACTCAAGCACAATAAAGTTTGAAATACATTCAGGGTACTCGTGGACAAACCAAATTGGCTTGTTACAAGAAATATCCAACATTGAAATTGGTTGCATTATGCAAGATGGAGCGAGCCAATTGAAGATGGAACCCTGTAACTGAGAGATCTAGATTTTGTGGAAGGGTTTTGTTTACCACCTCGTATGAGTCGCTCTTAAAGTCAACAAAAATTCCACTCAAGAGGCTGTTGCTCCGGGGCCAACTCGAAGGGGCTGAAGTTCGACGCAGAGCTTTTTGGTTAAGTTATAGCAGCACTGAGCAACATCCAACAGCTCCAGTCCTTCCCCAGAAGTTTACTTAGAAAGAGCTCCTCAAGATGTGCATGAACAACTTCAGGCACGACTTATCATCGAGACTCCTGCCCAAAACCTTTAAGGGATTCTCGTGAACTAGTTCAATACCAGCGCAAAGAGAAATGGCTTCCACCAGTTTGGCGTTGGGAGGCCCATGGAGCCGTTATGCATGTCCTCCCACAACCATTCCTGTTTTTATCCCTTGCAATAATGCCAATAGCAGAAGCTTTGGAGTCAGGAAGGAAGGTGCCATCCACGATAATTTTAAGTTTACCAGCGATAGGTTTCGATCATTTCTTCCCTGCATGCACAATTGGGTCTTTGGGAGATGAATCAAAAGAGCAAACAGCCTCAAGGAACTCAGCACCAAGAAACCAGGCAAAATTCACCACTTGTCTGGTTGGTTGAAGGACACCATCGTGAATCCACTTATTTCTTCTGTTCCACAGGCTCCACACAAGAAGAAAAAAATTTCACAACCTATCACCGGAGAGAACAACCTCAACGTTTTTAAACCACTGTACACGATTGGAAAACCCCAGTGAAACAAAAAGGGTCAAGTTATGAAAGATGAAACACTTCTCGAACGAAATGACAATCCTTCAACGCATGAATGGTGGTTTTCAACTCTGAATTGCAAAGAGAACAACAATCATTTTCAATTCAAGCAGATTAGAGCTTAGCATCGGAGGGGAGTGCCTCGTGACAAACCTTCCACACGAGAATTTTAGCCTTAAGGAGTGTTTTGACAATGACGAGCAATTTTCAGATTTTTAAAGGATCTCTAACCTCTTGAAGTCAATTCAGTAGTCAAGAGTATCCGGATTTAGTATTATAAACTCTTGAGCACACGAGGCGGTCTCCAACAGCGGGAGTGATGGGGTAACTTAAAATAGCTGCAGCGTCCTCATTTCCAAATACCCTTGTGATCTTGGTTGCATCCCATTTAGGTTCATTTGAAATCATAAAATCATGGCACCTGATGAGATCGATTTGGCTATCGATATAAGAAATCAACGAAACCGGGAGGTCCCCACCCCAGCGAACACTATGCATGAGGGTTGGGCTATTAATGTCGATTCTCTATTGGAACCAGGGACGTAGCTAGGTTTTCGGGGGGCCCTGTACAAATTCTTATAAAGGGACCCTATATTTTAGATATATTCGATTTCGGAGAAACAATAGTGGCGTTTTTTTGAAAACGCGTCGCAATAGGTCCATCTATAGTGATGTTTATTAGAGAAACGCCACTATATATATATTTTTTTAGGCATTTTTTTGGGGCCAGCACAATAATAGTAGCGTTTTTAGAAAAAACGTCGCAATAGGTCCATCTATAGTGGCGTTTATTGAAAAAACGTCACAATAGTTCGCGCCGCCCTAGTCACGCCCCTGATTGGAACCCTAGTTTGACACTTTCCTTAGTTTTGGAGATGCATTTCCAAATAAAAAAAGCTGTATCCCCGTTTTTAGCCTCCAGCAGATTACCATTTGGGAAGTATTTAGAAGACAAAACTTTGAACAATAAGGAGTCCTTGTTATGCAACAACCGCCATACCTTCTTCCTCATCAAGGTAAGATTGAACAGGCTCAGATCACATAAACTAATCCCTCCAGCTCTTTTGGGTCGGTAGATTCTGCGTCATGCAACGTGCGTCCATCCATTTCTGTTCTTTCTGGTCCACCAGATCCTTTGCATATCCGAAATGATCGAGTTGATGATACCATCCGGGATTAAGAAGAACGTCATCGCATAGGTCAAAAGGGCCTGGGTCACCGCCTTTAGAAAAATCTCACGTCCCCAGAAGATAACAAGTTTTAGTCCAACCCCGGTATGTTTGATTACTTTGTCTCTTAGAAAACCGAAAGCATTAGTCTTGTTCTTCTCAATGATCAACGGAAAACCAAGATACAAGCCTGGATCAGTACCTTCTTGAACACCCAGAATCGAGGAGATGGATTGCTTATGACACACCTTGGGTCTTCGAGCTAAAAAAATCAGAGATTTGTCGAGGTTAACTTTTTGACCTGAAATAACTTCATACTCACAAAGAACGATCTTCAAACTTAGAGCTTCGTCCTCAGAATTCTTAATGAAGAGCAAGCAGTGGTCAGCATAAAGGAGATGGTTAATCCGTGGTCCCCAGAGGCTCAAACACCTTTAATATTTCCCTTGTTTTGTTTCAAAGGGAGGTCTGCCGTGAGGCCTTGAGAGCAAAACAAAAAGAGGAATGAAGATAGATGACCTCCTTGCCGAAATCCACGCTTCCGGTAGAAATAACCTGAAACTTAGCCATTGATACGCAAGCGAACTGATACAGTGGTGATGCATTTCGTAATCAAATTAATAAAACGAAAGTCAAAGTCAAAACGACATATAACATCATGAAGAAAGTTTAAGTCAACCATTTTTAGAACCTTTAAGTAATGAAAAAGTTCATGACCAACAACAAAATTATCTGAAATTGAACATTATGAAATAAAGGCACATTGATTATAAAAAAATACAAAGAGACATAAAAGATTTAAGACGATTGACAATAGTTTTTTGACATAATTTTATAGATAATCGTGCATAAATAATCGATCTAAAAATTTTCATTAAAATATGAAAATTAATTTTAAGAATAAGAACAATGAAAATATAATTGACCTCCTTAAAATTAGTAGACCCATTCAATAAACTAAGAAAAATAGATAAAACATCATCACCCAAAATATACCTATAAAACCGAAAGAAACTAGCAGGAACACCATTAATGTTGTAGACACTCATTTTCGTCATGGATCGTTAAATAATTATGTCATATGATTTCGAAATATATGTATATAGTCTTTTTTTTTAAATGTGCTTTTAAAAATACATATTAACAACATGGTTTTGAAGATAAATGATAAATATAGTTTTAAATTATATATATATATTAAAGTTGTAATATATTGCTTTGCAAAAGTGTGTGTATATATATATATATAATATAGTTTTAAAATTATAATATATATAATTTTAAGAAAGCTTGTATAGTTTTTTAAAATAACTTATATAATATATAATTTTTGAAATCATAATATTTTAAAATTATAATATTTAGTTTTGTTAAAACATATATATAATTTTGAAAGATTATGTAATTTCTAAAAAAATATATATTATATTTGTTACTTTTCATTTTATTTGATTTTTGTTTATTATTTTTTATTTTATTTCGCAGGTCCACATGGTGTCCAAAATCCAACTCCCGAGTCTAATGCAAGTGACCTAATCTACTTAACCCAACAAATTGGGGGAGGGTTCAAGAAGAGATTCAGGGTGAAACAGACATGGAGGCCCACTAAGGAAACCCGCTTGCCTGACCCAACGAGCTAGGGCTTATATCTTATGCAAAGTGTCGTACAAATGTGGGCCGTCAGATTAAGAAGGCTTCAACGAAGGAGATTGAATGAGGGATTAGGGTTTTATAACCCTCATCACAAAAGCATCAGGAGCCGCACAAGCCCAAGATGTTGGATTTGGCTAAAGCCATCCAAAGGTCCATGAATCATCACAAAAGCATAATGGTTGTGCGTGAAGGTCACGCGTCGATCAGAAAAAGGAAAAACTTTCACTTTTTTCAATTCTTTGCTCGATTTGGCAAAGGAAATCATAAAAATTAAGGTCAGACAGCAATACAAATCAACACAAAAGAAGAAAGTCATAACTTTTAAACCAAAATGATGGCAATAATAAAAATAACCAAGATCGAAGGAAAATCCCGACGATTGTGGGATTAAAACCATGCACGGAAGGAAACTGTAACACTCCCAACACGTACCCGATCCGGATTCGAGTCCAAAGTGTCACATTGATTTTTCAAATCATTTGCCTTTACAAAACAACTAAAAATGCAATTTGTCATTTATAATAAAACAGAATAATTTCTATTATATAAAATATATGATTTTACAAAACCTATCAGATCATACTTGATTCAAATCTTTATTTACATGAAAACTAAAATCAGTATTATAAAATACCTATGATTTAATTGTTTTATGATCTGATTCTAGAAAAGGAGGTGCTGACCTGTCTTGCTCCTCTTAGCTTCTCTTCTCGCTTTACGGAACCTACGTCTGAAACACTCACATGCTAAGTCGATGACTTAGTGAGACATAAATAAACTTACTATAACATACATTTACTCATTCCTACTATGCATACTTCATGTAATCATAATACACTATAGAATACATTATGCATCAAAACACAAATACATACATATACATATCATTTCATTATTCTTATTATTACCTTAGCATTATCCCTAATCTCTTTTATCAAATGACCTTTACTTACCATTTATACATATCATATAACACATATATCACTACACAAAGCAACAAACAAATCATTATACAAGTTTATTTATGTTATCTCCTTATTAGCCTATGTACACATGTGAGAACTACATATATGTGAGTCTATAGAGGTTGTGCACATATGTTGTCACCACAACTCATATAAAATCCCACTAAGGGTATTTAGATTTTTGTCCCGAAGGACTGCGTAGAAATGTCCCGAAGGACCACATATAACACATATGTCCCGATGGACCACTATGTCCCGAATGACCACTCCTTAAGAACCATATACATATTCCAATGGACCAAATAAGTGTACCAAAGTACCGCATATATGTTCCAAGGGATTACATATATGTCCCGAATGACCACTTAGAACCCTCGACTCTTGGCATACCAACTATACCCGTAGCTCTCATGACACATAACATGGGCATTATCAATCATATCATTTCACATATTCACATAAACACGTACTTCACTTTCACATTTCACGTATCTTATGTCATATAACTTGGATCACATATACCTATAATCACGTAGATCACTTTTACATAACTTATATCAAATTTTCATGTCATTTCACATTTCTTGTCACATTACTTATATCTTATTCTTATATCTTCTCATAGACATATATTCACATGTTCATATAGTCCACCATTTCATCACATAAATATGTACTCAAATGACTCATTTCATTTCACATATAGTCAAAAAACTTATCCGGGTAGAAATCATATAACATTCTTATAACCCATAGTCATATATATATATATATGTCATTTTACATATACTTGTATTCACATGATTTATATTCTTCTTCTCATAATCACATATATCATGTTCAATAGCATATATCATATATGTATATAATAACTTATATAATCTCATATAGCTTATGTTTCATTCTCTTATATTCACCTATATCATGTAACATAGGTTATACTTATAAACACTTGTCACTTATATTATTTCATTTATATATTAATCTAATCTATTTACTTAGTTCAATTTCATATAACACATATGTCATAATTTTTATTTAAGCACACGAATCTTTCCCTTATAGTTTATCTTATATGTTCGATCATCATTTATATTCAAGTCTCCTAATTGATATACTATTCTCCTATCCTTCTATAGGTCAATCTTGTTTAGTTGATCTCACTTTTCATTTAATCATACAATTCTCTTATTATTACATAATTTATCTCATAAACATGTATTCACATACCTTAAAATCATATAAATTATATCATTCATACATAGTCACATAGTTCAATATCACATGGTTTACATCATATTCATATAACATGTATTCACAACAATCATATAACATTTGCAATAACATGTATCACACATACTCATATCAAACACATGCTTATAATCATGAATTCATGCATTTTAATATAGGAAATAGACTTATCGCAAGTCTTATTCCTATTGAACTATATCTATAGTATGCACTCACCTGGCCTCACTGGTCAATACCGATTCCTTATCTCTTCTTGATGACTATTACTTGTCAACTTGTCCGGATGTTGTTCTTGATCGCTATCTACACAATCATACATTTATACATATCAGTATTCCAAATGGCATACTATAATATTTCATTTCCTAACTAAAGGAAAGACTACTTTCATTTCTTATTTAAAGTAGGTATCGGTACCCTCTATAGGGTATCGGTACATCCCTTAACTGAGGTATCGGTACACTGCCTAGATATCGATACCCAAATTACATTCGATAATTTTTTCGTTTCAAGTGGGTATCGATACCATCCTTAAGGTATTGGTACACTTTGTATGTTTCCTAAATTTTTACTCTTGAGGTATCGATACCTGTTGAATGGGTATCGATACCCCTTTCCTAGAAATCACTTCTTGAGCCCGAAAATTCACTTAATTCAAATCAAATGCTTCATATTTCATCTCCTTACATATAGTTAACTCACATACACATGCTTAAACCCATTTATTCTCATTTATCATATCTTTAACCTCAAAATCCTATCTTCATATGGAATTCAAGAATCATACCAAATTTTCTACTTGTTCTAAATTCAATTCTATCACTTCATATCTCTTAATTCAACCATTGACATGTCAAATTTACCTTCCAATTCTACTTATCAACTCTTTTCTAATATTTCATTTAAAAATTCATTATCTTTAATCTCTCTTAACTCTTTTATCTTATGGTTTTAAGATAACTTAAGCTTTCCTTAAGCTTAAGTATCATTTGAGGATCATAAACCAAACTTGAATTCAACAAATAATCAACAAAGAAAGAAACTCACCTTTGCCTTTTAGGTTCACGATGAAGAGAAAGAAGAAGAAAGAGTTTTCTGGAGACTCTTCTCTTAAGCTTATTCCTACGTGTATATATCCTATATAAAGGGGAAATAAAAATCTTTCTTGTCAAATGACCATTATACCCCCTTACTCCATCAATTATTTACTAAATCATCATTCACAAAATATTATCAATTAAGTCCCTAAACTTTTTAATCTTTTGAATTCATGCTTCAAAGTTTCCAAAAATTCTATTTTGGTCACTAACCTGACTTTTGGGATGTTACAAATCTCCCCTCCTTTTAAGAAAATTCATCCTCGAATTTTCATTGCACTAGTAGATGAAGATATTTCCTACATATATCCTATTCATATTCTCATGTTGTATCATCACCTTAATCTTTTGTTTTACTATTAACAAACTTGGCTTTCATCGCTTCATTTCTTCAACTATCTTTTCCTTTATACATCCATATCATGTCACTTAGCATGTAAACAGTAATCATCAATTCTTTCACTTAAAAAATCATAAATCACTCACTTTTGTTTTTCTAACCCCTAATTACCTTCCAATAATAACTAACTTTTTTCCATCATCACTTGACTACTTCTTAAATTTCCTTAATACATATAATCCTTCTTTAATTCTCTGACTAAGT